GGGTAAAAAGACAGCGTAAAAAAGACAGTAAAGACAGCGGTGGTTGTGCTGCGCACCCGGCTCTCTCAGGCTGTTCCAAACTTCAGGTAGGACATTCTCTGGAGTTCTACTGGAGAGGGAATGACTCCAGCTTCAGAGGACCACACACACCCGGTCTACAGAGAAGCGCCCCCAGCTGCGCATTAAAAGCGCCTCCAGAGCCATCAGTGCCTCTACCTGCTACACGGCGACACCCAAACACACACACACACACAAGCCGAGCGACTAGCACCCGGAAGTACAGACGGCAAGCGGGACAACGTCAATATTTTGAAGGTTTTTATAGTGTGCCGTCTGGCGCCCCCAGCTGGTGGGCGGATAAACTATCCACACTACTACACATGTTTCTCGTCGTTCTGACTTTTATGGATGACCTGTTACAGATGCATGGTATGTAAGGTCAGGTTGGTTCATCAATATTCATTGTTCATTGTACAGACTGACATCAACAGGAAGGAACCTCCCCTTCAAACAGCAAGTGCAGATCAGTCTGAAGTGTTCTACAGGGGCTTCTCCAGGACCCTCCTCTCCGCCAACTGCTGCTCTGTGTCCAGGGGACTGCCCAGGACGGAGCTGGACTTCCTGATGACCTCAGAGAAGCAGAGTGACGTCTGTGGAAATCCACCACCATCTCCTTGGTCTTCCCTGCGTTGATGAGGAGGTGGTTCCATTGACACCAGTCCACAAAGTCTTGTATTACTCCTCTGTACTTTCCATTGTCCTCAGTGATGAGTTCGATGATGGCAGAGTCATCAGAGAACTTCTCTAGGACACAACCGCCCGTGTGTGAAGTCTGCAGTGTAGAGGGTGATGAGGAACAGCCTTAGTACGGACCCCTGAGGGGCCCCCACACTGCAGGTCAGGACCTCAGACATGCAGCCCCTGGCCACGGCTGGATGGTGTTGAACGATCCTGGAGTCGAAGAACAGAATCCTCACAGTGGAGCTGGGCTTCTACAGGTGAGACTGCGCATATTAATTCATAATAATGCACCTTCAAAGATTAAGAAGGCGCACACTTTCAACTAGCGTCACCAACTCCTAAGTCTATCACTGCGCATATTCAGTTTTTAGTGATAAGAACAATACAATACAATAATAGTCCAGGCCTGACTTAGCTTTTGAGGAAGCACTAATTGTTCTTGTCAAACAATATCAACGACATGTAACAGTGTGAGAAGAAGCAGCCGTAAGCAGGAGAGAAGCCTGTGTGTGTCTTTAGTCTGAGGTGAGAGCGACGGAGGAGGGCTGTGAATGTCTGATTAATGCAGCATTGCCCTTGTGTTGTGGAGCGAGGGAGAGGATGGAGGTTAGCCTGTAGCTACATTAGCATTCTGCCCACACCTCTCCGGGAGTCTTTGTAATCTGAAAGGCAGAGGAGCATCTGTACAGACACTTCACGCACTCCACTCCAGTCTGGATGCTCACCAAACAGCTGCTGGTCACAACTGCACAAACTGACATTGGTGTATGCCGACCCAACCGTCTATCGCTTATTTGTCCCACAGTGGGGAGATTTCAGTGCAATAAATTAACAAGAACTCTATACTAATAATAAAATAAAAAATAAATACAATAAAATCTCTATCTTTAGCATAATAAGGAAAGAAGTCGTAAAAGCTCCAACTTTAGCCTGATGAAGAATAGGGGTGTGACGATACTTTCTCCCGCGATTCGATTATCGATATGCATTTGCCAAGTATCAATATCGATTTTGAAAAAAAAAAAAAATCTTAAAAAAAAAAAACATTGGTATCAATACTTAATATATGGCTACATTACGCATCTCCATTCCATTTATCATGAAATAAAGTGTAGATTTTCTTTCATTTATGCCATAAATTTGCATATTGTATATTTCTGACCAATATATCGATAAACGTCATATCGTGATATCGTTATCGTGATAATATCGTTATTGTGAGCTTTGTATCGTGTATCGTATCGTATCGTGAGGTACCCTTAGGTTCCCATCCCTAATGAAGAAGCAAGACTTAGAGGTATATAGCAGGATTTTCTACTTCCGGAAGGATCATCAAGACTATTCGTCCTCCCAACTGTCAATCATTCTGTTGATACGTGCTCATCAAACAACACCAGATAGTTTTGTTAAAAAGTGGAGAGGGCGGTTCTTTCCTAAAATTTGGCAAAATCCTCTTCTATACAGTACCTTTAAGTACAAAAACCTCCTGACTTTTGCATAATAAGGAGCAAGAATAAAATGCTGTATATTCTTGTGCAAGTAATATATAGTTGTGTATAGATAGATCGATACTTTATTGATCCCTCTTGGGAAAAAATCATCCATATAAACACAATTATAAACATTTCTGACTAACAATTCTAACACACTACCTAACAATAGTGCATATGTTTTCCTCATACAGGTCTGTTGTAAAGTCTGACAGCCGAAGCAATACGGATATCTTTAAACTTTCCTAGAAAAGTGACAGTGACACACGTGGTTCTCTATTGCACATATTGCACATTCATTTCATAGATGTTATTGATTCACTGGCAATTTCCTGGCTCTTCATCGAAATAAAAATAAAGATGGACTGACAAAAATCAACGGTTTGCATGTTGACGTTTGAAGCTGCGTAGTGAATGTAAGTAGTGTTGTAAACTCAGAGATAAAAGTCAATCTTGAGGCGCCATAATGTGGGAGGAATATGAATAAAAGTTTGTTAATACTTTGATGCTTCACAGTTCTGCCAAAGGAGGTAGTTGGATGTGACGGCAGCGTTACTTGAATGCAAATGTGGAACTCCAGGCCTGACGAGGCAAAATCTGACATTTCAGCTCCGCCCGCTGCATCATAACTGCAGTAACTTTTACATTAACGTTGGGGAAACAGTAGCTCGCAGATGGGCAATGTTTCTGCTCTCCCGCTCTGCCCCTGTCCTGGATCATCGTTTGTCCTTAATACTGTGGCTGTGATTATTTTGTGAATCGATTATTTAGTTGATGAATCCATGAGTTGTTTGAATCCGGAAAGGACATTGAAGGTCATTCTCTGTACATTTGTCCAAACGAGACAAGTGACGCTTTTGTATTTTCCAATTTCAACATGTAAATCCTTGGAAATTTCAAAGAACAAATATTTGATCAAACTGTTAGAGTCTTAATGATTACTAGACAAATATATCTTGTAAATACATCTTATAATATTTTCCCAAACGTGAAATAAGTCCAGATAAAAATGATGAATGTGTCTAAAACAAATGACTATGACAAAGACATTACTGCGGCGCGTATTCTCTCCCGTCTTCAAGGCCACTCGACCTTTGTTTTGTTTCTTAGATAAAAGTAAACATTTGAACCTGATCGTTTCTCTTGTGTTTCTGCCTCAGGCCTCTTTGGAGGCGCACGGCTTAGACTGGGATGATGTTTACCATGGACTTCTTTGTCTTTCTTTCCCAGGAGGAAGTGTGTCCTCTCTGTTTGCGGTAGCTCACCTCCTCCTTCCAAGTGTCTAACAATTTAGAGATCGTCCATTTGCTGAATATTCTTATTATTCAGATACATACAACTCATGTGTAAATACATGCTTTGATGTTGTATAAAAAATAATTATTTATTATTGATAAATACAGTTTGAAGACAGGAAATGCAGTGATAACAAACACATAGATTCAGACTATAGATCCAGGACTGGCATTCTGGCTCAATGAACATAATATTGGATGTCACAGGATCTGTGTGGATTGATGTGATCTTGTCACTGTGTAGAAAAAACTTCATTAGTGTCAGTCACTTCAGAAATAGCAGAACGTGACATCTTAATAATTACAATAATTAAAAACAAATTAAATCATCATCAATGAATAGCAGACTGTGACGAGCCACCTATGACGGCACAAAGACATGTGTGCTCATGTTAGCTTGTGTGTTCTGAAATAGTTTATCAAGTGCACATCCTTAAAGCCATAAAGTTTAAGCCAAAGAAACAAAACAAAATGTTGTGCAGATGTGGAGGGTCCGCTGTTTAAGCAGAGAGCTTTGATGTTTAGAGCTGGGCTGATCTACGGCCTCTCTGCTCTCTCTGCTCTCTCAGCTCTCTCTGCTCTCTCTGCTCTCTCTGCTCTCTCTGCCCTCTCTGCTCTCTCTGCCCTCTCTGCCCTCTCTGCTCTCTCTGCTCTCTCAGCTCTCTCTGCTCTCTCTGCCCTCTCTGCTCTCTCTGCTCTCTCTGCTCTCTCTGCTCTCTCTGCTCTCTCTGCTCTCTCTGCCCTCTCTGCTCTCTCTGCCCTCTCTGCCCTCTCTGCTCTCTCTGCTCTCTCTGCCCTCTCTGCTCTCTCTGCCCTCTCTGCTCTCTCTGCTCTCTCTGCTCTCTCAGCTCTCTCTGCTCTCTCTGCCCTCTCTGCCCTCTCTGCCCTCTCTGCTCTCTCTGCCCTCTCTGCTCTCTCTGCTCTCTCTGCTCTCTCTGCCCTCTCTGCCCTCTCTGCTCTCTCTGCTCTCTCTGCTCTCTCTGCCCTCTCTGCTCTCTCTGCCCTCTCTGCCCTCTCTGCCCTCTCTGCTCTCTCTGCTCTCTCTGCTCTCTCTGCCCTCTCTGCTCTCTCTGCTCTCTCTGCTCTCTCTGCTCTCTCTGCTCTCTCTGCCCTCTCTGCCCTCTCTGCTCTCTCTGCTCTCTCTGCTCTCTCTGCCCTCTCTGCTCTCTCTGCTCTCTCTGCCCTCTCTGCTCTCTCTGCTCTCTCTGCTCTCTCTGCCCTCTCTGCCCTCTCTGCTCTCTCTGCCCTCTCTGCCCTCTCTGCTCTCTCTGCCCTCTCTGCCCTCTCTGCTCTCTCAGCTCTCTCTGCTCTCTCTGCCCTCTCTGCTCTCTCAGCTCTCTCTGCTCTCTCTGCCCTCTCTGCCCTCTCTGCCCTCTCTGCTCTCTCTGCCCTCTCTGCCCTCTCTGCTCTCTCTGCTCTCTCTGCTCTCTCTGCTCTCTCTGCTCTCTCAGCTCTTTCTGCCCTCTCTGCCCTCTCAGCTCTCCTCTTCATGGCCCTTCTCCAGTGGCTCAGGAAATGTTCTTTCTGAATTGGCCTGTTGCTCTGCTGCTGTTTGAGCCAAACCGGGAAACAATAAGTCGCTCAGTGGCAGCGACTGCTGCCGGTCCCAGGTGAGGTGCAGACTGAAGTGTCCTTCGGCCCTGTTCGGACATTCTTCAGCACAATGTGATCAATATCACTTTTTCATTGTGTTTTAAATCACATTTCAAATGTATAAGAAAGGAACATACCGGTGTAATTCTGAGTGACGGTATGAAACTGAAACAAAGTAAAACTGCAGAGCTATGATACTGTAGATATATTGTAATATAACACATAATCACTGTTGCCTACAGTCACCTGGGGTTACATGTTGTGTAGTTGAAACTGTTTGTCCCTCCCCAAAAAGTACCCGCTAACTGGCCCCATACAACCAAGTGGACTCCACAGACTGTGCACAAAAGGTTTGATTTTCAGAATGTCCTATTGGAAAACCAACAGTTTTGTTACAACAACAAATAAGATATTTGAGGTGACTTGTGCTTTTGTTGAATACAAAATATGTACAAGCATTATTAAGCTCATTAGTGATGAAAAGAATGTCACATAAAGTCAGTAGCATGTTAATGGTTGAATTAAATGGTTTTCTGATATAAAAGGTAAACAGGAATGACATATATCATGTTATTAAACGGACCAAAAAAAGAAAGTACAGAGGGAGCTAAAGGGTAAATCTATACAATACAATTTATTCTTGTATAGCCCTAGGTCACAACAGAAGTCATCTCAGAGGACTTAACAAAACCATTGAAATCACCAACACAGGTCAGAGAATCAACAGTTAAAACACATGAAGAATATAAAGCACACACAGAAGAAAATGTCCATACATGTTGTAGAATGCTAAAGTGTCCTGATCATCACCAATCCTTTCTGTTGGACACTAAATGTCCAACAAGACCCTCCTGCATTGACAAGGAAAAACAACAGCCTGGGAGTGTCCGGACAGGAAGGCACATGGAGTGGGGAAACCAGCGGCTCTGGAAGTGGGCGTGGCCAGCAGCAGCGTGTGACATAGAACAGTATTGAAGCCAGACAGTGCAGCCCAATAACGGCAGCAGATGTTTCTTTCTTTTGAGGACACTTGTAGGATTATTGTTTTTGTTCAGACTTGTTTTCATCATTCTAACGTTTTTTTTAACCTGACTTTGTGATGAATTCTTCATTTATTTCATGGAAGCCACTCTGAGAGTAGGACAATAAGCTTGCATTGCCACTTTCATGGCACTGAGCAGTTTACATAATTTTGCATCACCAACCATATTTATGGAGTGTGTTTTAGTGCTGCATAATGCTGCAGATGCTGTTTGCCTCTATTGTGTGAGCGTTAGACATCATTTTAACAACATCCATATGTCAAATGATCTCAGCTTCCATATACTACCCTCACTTCAGCTGTCAGACCCTTCATAGACCTGTGCAAATGTTTTACTGAGGTGTGAAAGATGTGTTGGAGGAATTTGATAATTAGACAGAGTGCTTCTGTTTCTGTTTGAGTTTCCTTTTAATAAAGTAAGAACCAAAAATGGATCTTTTCAACAAAATGATTTTATCCATAAACTGGTTTATCTGTCATTTGAACATTGTGTGTTGTGTATTCCTAAAGGTTTTAATAACAATATGCACAAATGTTGTATTTAGATTAAAGCTTACATAGCGCAGAAGCACAATATATAGAACATGGGTCCTTTATGTAAAAACTCCAACGCTCGCTCATGTAAATCTGCACCGGTGGAGACTGTCGATATCGTATTGTTATCTTCCTCGTCCTTTTGCAGTTTAATGATGTGCAGGTTTGAATGCACACACGTAAAGGGCCACACGTCAAAGGGCTGCATTGTGAAAATGACAACTGAGAATGCAAATGAATTTATATCTAATATAAATTGAAGTCAAAATAAACAATCAATCAGTGTTTGCTTTGTTATAGATGCTGCATCTTCTGAAAATGTAGCTTGAGGCAGAGCTTGTCTCCGGTGCATTCAGGTGCAGTATTAGGTGTCGGGGCGGCTTCACTCTGACTGACCGTACTCTTTGTTGTGCTTCAGTGCCCTGTGTGCGCTGAATGACAGCGTCTGTAAACAACCCTCTGCAGCCTGCTCCTCTGGATTTAAAGAAAGTTTCGCTCTACACAAACACAGACAACACACATACGTATATTTATATCTTCAATTCATACTCTGTTTGTAATTTTTCATTTTGTTCTTTGCATCTAAACACGTATAAAAGTTAATTGAACTGGTGTCATTTAAAGTAGCGATATGTAAGATTATCATGTCAAGTCATCATGAAATAGGCCTAATATATCAAAAGGCATTAATAAACTGCTCTTTTCACATACTTCTTTCACTGATAACAGTTGTTCAGAGATTTGAATTTCAAAATTAGTTTTACAGCCCCTAAATCTTGTTATTGTTTTCATTTCGATGTCCCGTCCTCCACCTGTTAATCTATCAATAAGTCTGTGATCCTGGTTGCCAGAACTTACCGCGTCGAGCTAATCTCACTGGTAAAGTAACATGTAGCCACAGAATTAAAAAAAGGTCTGATTAAGATTCTCAAAAAAAAAGTTGTTGGTTATAGATTTGTTGTTGACAAAACTCTTTATTCAGATATTATGGTCCCAGCTGAATTTGTCTGCGTATCTGGCAACCTGAGTCAGGGAGAGTGCAGTACCACTTTTGGCCAGATTTTGTACATACTGCTTCTTTAATATTGATACAATTACATTTAATTCTACTGTCAAAATGTCAATTATGCCGTAGATATATTTCAGTATATAAGAAGCTTCTGGTTCTATGCTATGGACCTCCTCGCTGTTTATCATTACCACATGATTGAGGGAGTTAAGTTTTATCTACTTTTTCAGTTGTACCAAAATCAAGATATATACTTATTGTTTTTGTCAATGATTAAAGCATCAGTGCTGATGAGTAATCTTTCTGAAAGTTATTTAAAGCAAAAAACCTGAAATAACACCAGTTGAAGGGTTTCACTTGAGTGTGTGCAGGACCAAAATCATCATATTCCAATTAGTGTGGTTAGTTGGCGGTTAGTTTCTTTGCTTTCCTGAAAATCCTCCTTTTGTTGTCTTTTTCTCGTCAGTCGCGGCTGCATCTTGTATGACGTAAGTGCATGTGTCACGTCTGAGTGAAAAGCAGTGGAGCAGTGAGGGGCAGGAGGTCACCATTAGTGGATGAGTTCCTCTGAAGTGCCTTGCCTTTGCTCCATCACCGTGACTCTATTGAAGATCACATTTTACAAAAACCTGATCCCTTGGGCCTGTTTGATCAGTCAGTGTGTTGTTATTGTGTGTGATTCCGTTTACACAGTAGAGTGTCGTGTCCTTCACCTGTCTTTGTGCTCTGACATCTCTCCAGATGACGCTCACAGCTGCTAGAGTTCAATTTTCTTCTTTTTTCAATTTTCGTCCAAAAAATGAAACCCTTGCCACAACACTTACCGTTTTTACTACTGCTCCTACATTGCAAAAATAATTGTTTATAAGTTTACCCTTTAGATTCCGAAGATGCAGAATTGCTACTTGAGCTCTTAAATCCAGGACACTTTCTATCCAGCGACCATTTTCTTTTTCGTCTCTCTTTTCTTGATTTCAGTGATCCTTATAAAGTTTCAGGGCTGGTTTTCTTTGGTTATAATTGATTCCATTCTCACCTCACAGTTACTGCACACCGTGGATGTGCGACCCTGGTTCTCCTGCAGTCTGAGAATCACACCAGCTGCTGCGGCGCTGCTGTCTCTGGTGACTGCGGTGCTTTGAACCCGCGCTCCTGTGACCACATGTTCAGGCTGTAATTACACCAACGAAACTGAGAACAGGACTGAGGAGGACTGAGGAGGACTGAGGAAGACTGAGAAGGTTTGAGGAGGGCTTAGGTGGACTAAAAGGGACTAAGAGGGGCTGAGAAAGACTATGGAGAGTGAGGAGGGCTGAGGAGGACTGAGAGGGACTGAGGAGGACCAAGGAGGACAGTTGACCAAGGAGAGCTGAGGAAGACTGAGGAGACTAGAGGGACTAAGGAGACTGAGGAGAACTGAGAAGGGTTGAGGAGGACTAAAGGGACTAAGAGGGACTGAGGAAGACTGAGGAGGACTAAGTGAATATTGCATTTTGAAACATAAGATCAGATATACTTTATTAATCTCACACAGGAGAAATTTACAAAGAATCAGAATCAGGATACACCCCTTTAACATACTTTATAGTCAGAATTGCTCTGATCTACACACCTGGTTTTATCATTCTTCATCGCTATATTTGTACTTGAGTAATTATAAGTGTAAATTTGCATGAATTAATCAAGAGGCCAGTGATCCCAATCCGCCTGAGCCCTCGAAGGCTCACGCGATGCCATCAGGATCATAAGCAGCGAGATAAAAGCTAAAAGTGTGTGGTCCAAACAAGCATCAGTAATCAGACACTATTCAAAGCTGAGGCAAAGGAATCAAACACAAATGACTCTTGAGATTAAGATTAAGGGATCCTTCACTCGACCCACAGAGGGGGAAATGTCAGTGTTGCATCACCAGTTACAGGACAGTAGGAGGGTAAAGGAACACAGCTCTGTACTAAACGCTCTACTAAATAACTCTAATAAAATAAAACCTCTAGCTTTAGCATGATGAGGAATATTACTTAAACATGTTCTTTCATTTGTGCACGAGTTGTACTTTGGTCATGTTTAAGAAGGCAATACAGTGGTTCTTTGTTTATCGCAGGGGTTTGTTTTATTCTATAATTAACCAGCAATGAGTGAAATCTGAAAAGCATTCAGCTCTATGTTTTGAGGCCGTAAAACCCCTCACTCTCTCTAACACCTGCACTCACGACTGTGGATCAAACATTGTTGATAGTTGTTGTGGGTCTGAGCTGTCAAAGCCGTGCAAAAAATACAGAAAAAGAGGACCCCGCTGTTGTCGACTGGACTGAACGAGCCACAAAAGTTTTCCTCTGATGTTCTGTTTTCACAAGGACGCTGCAGCAGTAAAATGGTAGAGTTGGGTTAGGGCCTCCTGTTTACATGGAGACTGTGTTCAGGGGAGTGAAAATGCAAGTGTCGAGAAACAGCCTCCAGAGTGGATCGGAACAGAACTGTTTCACACCCGTTTGAATTCTTTTCTATCATGATTTCACCTCTTCCCGGCACGTACATTTGAACATGTGGAGTAGCCAAGAACAAACAACTTATGCTAACGTGTGCTTCAAACGTTCGCTACTGCTGTTAAATGCTGAATGCTGTTGGTGCATCCTTTCACGTCTCTGCGGTGGCCTGAGTAGGATGTTGTTGAGGAAGTGGTTTTACCGCTGGGGGTCCCGTGTGCCATGTTGTAAAGTTCCACTGCCCCCTACTGACCGGGCGCTAGAACTACATTGTTTTCCGTCGCGGTGTAAACGCTGTGCACTTCGATTAAGGAGCCTGGTCGTTCTTGCTAATTGCTTTGCTGCGCCTTTGTCTAAACTAGGGATGTAAAAAACTATGAATTTTCATGACCGACCACCGAGCCTCATTAACCGGTTGAAACCGGTTAACCGCGTAGTTTAAAATAGTCCACGTTCTTTGAAATAACAGCCATTTCGAGCCGCGTACTTTTCATAAGAGCAGCTCTGCGTTCTATTGGATCAGAGCCGAGACAGCGGCGCCAAAACCCGCAACAGCTCCGGCACCTTTGCGCACAGAGAACTGCTTTTTTAATCTTCCCATTCTGCTGTGCTGCGGGTTAATACCAAAACTTTCTAGCAGCAAACGACGGCTCGTTCACATGGTCAGAGCAGCGAGTGACGAGCCGCGTCTCACAGGTCTTCACAAAAGTTTAAATACAAGTGATGTGTGTGGAGCTGATCCCGAGGACCATAAACACAAACATGTTCCATGTGGTTTGACTGGAGCAGTGTGTTTGCGCGAATCCTTTGGGCTCCGTGACACAGAGGAGCGCGACAGACCGGTATGTGTGTGTGTATGTGTGTGTGTGTGTGTGTGTGTGTGTGTGTGTGTGTGTATGTGTGTGTGTGTATGTGTGTGTGTGTAAATGTAAGCTCCAATGTAGTTCTGACCCGCGCCAGTGTGCAACTTTGACGGTAACAGAGGGGAGAGATGATGCGTGTGGATGTTACGTATGGAGAGGGGGAAAGTGTGTGTGTGTGTGCGTGCGTGTGTGCATATGTGGCTCGTGCGGCGTGAGAGTCGTCCCGGAGTTTATAATACATGGGCGCACACAGCTAGATACGGACCCGCTCGTCACATCGTGCAAATAGGGCTTAAAATAGCGTTATTAAGAGACCTCCCCTCTCCCCTTTTTCTCTTTTTTAACCGACAGCTTTGACCGGTTAACGCTGTGACGGTCAACCACCGGTTAACCGGTCGCCGATTTACATCCCTAGTCTAAACAGGACCTGAATTTAAATAAAGGCAACTATCACATTATGTTAACGATTTGCTAGTTTCATATGATGTGTTGTAGGGAAAACTCCTCATGAGACGTTAGTTTGACTTAAATATTGTAATAACTAATCTGTTATGTAGGCTCTATCGGTATGGAGACGATGGCACAATACTGTATTAATATATTGATCTTTACTATTACTTTCTACTGCCACAGATTACAGTATATACCTGCCCTTTCTCACTTGTCAAGGCCGGATCCACACTGGGACTGGCTCATCTCTATCATTTACCCCAGGGCAGCTGTGGCTACAGTAGCCCACCAGCTGCCCACCTCCACCGTGTATGCAACGAGTGAATAATGAATCGCAATGAGGTTAAAGAAGACGTTATGATAATATTGCATTTTAGCATATTTGAACCACATAATAGCCATTAAATTGCAATGCTTCCTTTCTGGGACCAGGTGGCTGAAGTGTCCTGCCCCAAGACCCACCCCCACCCTCCCTACTCCCTCCCTCCCCCTCTGGGCTGATGTATAGCTCCAGTGTGTTCATTAACTTCCACTGCATGCATAGGTTTTTTTTCAGCGATGGGAGACATTAAAAAGAATATATGGGACAGAGAAAAAGACCACCTGTGAAAGCTCATTATTGGAGAGAAAATGCAAAGGTTCGCTTTCTAGTTCATCCATCTCACGAGAAACAGCAGACTACTGAACGCTGGTGAATTGTAGGTTCTTAAAAAACGATTCCAAAACACCGAAAGTCATTTGTGTGGTTTAAATGCAGGGTCACACAATATTTTTTGTTGATTTACATGTGTTTTCAATTCACCTAATAGAATGATCAAACACTACAAATACTATATATGTATATTTATAACGTTTTTAAAGTCAATTTATCAGAAATATTTTTGTTCTAGGTGGTCATAGTAGTAATGATGTACAGTATGTAAAACATCCCAGGAGATCTTCATGTACGTTAATGTTGTCTTTGTATTTAGTCTGCTCTTCCCAAGTTTGTGATGTCCATTTTCTTGTGCTTACATCTTCAACAAACCATTTTTTCTTTACACAATTCAACCCCATTTTCTTTGGTGCGATATTCAAAGCCTGACTGGCAACAAAAACCCAACCTCTCCTCCGTCGTTTGTTTAAGGTCTCGTGAGATCTTACTCCATTCTCCTTCAAATTTCGATTCACACTTTGCTGAGACCCTCGGCAGAATCTAATCCCGTGTCTGACAGTGAGGGACTCAGTGAGTGTTGTGTCCAGAAGGGGCCAGATACCACCCGTTGTCCAAATTGCCTTCAAGAGTGGCCTTCCAAACCCACACGCTGCTCCACTTGGTTTGTGAGAGGTTTCGCTCTGCACTGTAAGACCATTTCAGCCGAATCAGCAAAAGTATTTAACTATCGTCCACGGACTCTTAATTCTTTTCGAAACCGCCTGCCGAGTTTTTCCTTGCTGATGCACTAAGGACAGTGGTGATGATCCAGAACATTCGACATTCAACATTTTTGGACATTTATCAAAATTTATGAGCATTAGTCATCTGTCTCTTATGGACCAATGCCTCTATATGTTTTGCATCATCCTTTCGTATTCATCCTGTGTTTTAACAGTTTTGGCGAATCGACAGCTTTGTAAAATCCTCAGAGGTAACTACTGCTGTGATTTAGGGCTATTCAAAGATTTGTTGAACATTAGTACATAGCCGATCTCAAAATGTGTTCATTATAATCACATGGTGGCAAAAAAATGGCACGGTGGCAGGAATGCTTGTGTGTACTATCCTGGTGCACACAGGCGTAGTCTTGCACTGTTTTTCCAATGTTGTTTTACTGCAAATGGCCAATCAATTCTTGAATCATGAATCTAATACTTTGATACTCCATAGACTCCATACACTTAAAGGTATATAGGAGGATTTTCTACTTCCGCGTGGATCATCAAGACTATTGGTCCTCCCAATTGTCAATCATTTTGGTGATACGTGCTTGTCAAATAAGGCCAGAGGGTTTTGTTCAAAAAGTGGAGAGGGCGTTTCTTTCCGAAAATTTGGGAAAATCCTCCTATATACCTTTAACAGTTTTGCATGTGAGGATCTCAACATTATCACTCAAGGTCATTTCAGGGATCTCTTCTTCAGATGCTGTATTCTTAAAGGAGCTATACCCGTTTCTGCAAGGTTTGAAAGGAGAGCTTTGAACAAGGTGCTCCGCTCTGCAAAGAGGACTGTGGGCTGTGAGCTTTCTGTTCTGGAGGTTCTTTATAAATCCAGACTTTTAAACAGAGCTCTGAGAATTATCAATGACTCTTCTGGCCACCCTGGAAAAGCCTTGTTTCAGCTTCTTCCCTCTAGCAGAAGATATTGTTTGCTGAGATGCAGGACATCTCGTTACGCTAACAGTTTTTTTCCACAGGCTGTTATCAGCTTGAACAGAGCACTTTGAAATGATCTTGCACTTGTTTTGATATTGTTTTGGTCGATCAATTTCACAGTGACAATAGTTTACTGTTTTATTTGTTTTATGTCTGTCTTTTAATGTTATTTTATATCTGTACTTGTCTTGTGCACACTGGGGACTTTTGCGAATGTATTCCAATATGGTTTTACTGCAAATGTCAAATAAATGAATCTGAATCTGAATCTGAATGTTTAGCACCGCCCCCCAACTCGCTCACAAGCTTCTCATTTCCCCTACGCTCTTATTCCACGGAGCCAT